GGGAAGGGGGCCAGATCGGTGGTGGCCGCTGAGCTTTTGGGGCATTTGTCCGCCGAGTCGTAGAGGCAGTAGGAGCTCTCTTCTTTGATGTTCTGGGCGAAAGAACACGAGGTGGCCTGTGGTGGGGCCTGGGGTGGTTGTGGCGGGGGCGGCGGCTGCTGCTGAGGTGGCTGCTGCTGCTGTTGCGACGGCGGCCCCTCAGGCGGCTCCATCCGGCAGGACCGGGGTGCATCTAGCCACAGGTCTATGGGCGCCGGCGCATAGCCGTGCGCTCCGGGGCCCAGGGCCCCGCTACCGCCACCACCGCCTGGCGAAGCCGGCTCATTGCGCTTGCCGCCCAGTGCGGGGAAGAGCCCGCAGCTCTGCAGCCCGTAGGGCAGGTCGGTGGCAGGCGGCAGGTAGACCCCGCCGTGGGCGTAGTAACCACTGCCGCCGCCGCCCCCAGCGCCACCTCCACCACCTCCCGCTTCGCCTCTGCCCGAGCTGATGAGCGAGTCCACCAAAAAAGAGTTCGCGGCGGGGCTCTCCGAGCATGACATTGTTGTGGGATAATTTGGCGAAGGGAGCAGATAGCCCTTTCTGGCTGACATTTCTTGTGCAAAACATGCTGAATACGATTAGCAATCCCCCCGCACCGCGGCGGGCGTCCGCAGCCAATCCCGAGCCAGAGTTTCCGCGCGACCACTCCCAGTTTGATTTCGTAGGCGCAGGGCCGCTCTCCGAGGGCGCCCTCAGAGCCCGCGATTGATATAAATATGTAATCTGTATTGATGGGCCAGGAGATGCACGCCTGACACCTTGGCCCGAAGGCTATGAGCTGTGGGGGTTGCCCTAAAGTGGCTGGTGGGGGGCCTGGCCCTAGGATCGCCCCGCCCATATTCTGATGTGAGCCCTAGGCCGGGGTCTGTTGGAAGTGTTCTTGGGCCCTGCGCAGTTAACAAGTGGGGTGTTTACGGTGCGCACCCCCAGCCTGCCTTGGGTGCTCCCATCCTTGTTGCAGAAGTGGCCACTAGGCCCAGGTGCCCTGTGACTACATATAGGAACCCTGTCGGGGACTCACGTTCTTCCTATTCAGCTCTGGACCTGGAGGTGGCCCCATCTCTGGAATCTAGTTTCCAAAAGTAGCAAACCTGGTCCCAAAGCCACTGGGATCCTCACAGTGTCTGGAGTAAACTGGAAGTTAGCTATTGCCATACTTCTGACATCTCACACCAAATACTCCCCCAAATGCAATAGCTGATCCCTGATCCTTTAGCCTCCAACACTGTCCTACCCTGTGGATTCATCCACAGGATTTACTCCTCTTCAGTGCTCACCTGGCTTGCCTTTTATACATCTCCTGTTGGGGAACCTTGGAGGTCTGGTGTAAGTGAGCATGGGAAGTGACTGGCATCCTTGGCCAGAAGACTTTCCCCACCAGACAGGAGGCCAGAGCCAGGTCCAGACACCCTCACCAACACCCTGAGGAAATCCCATACTCAGGTCCTTTAAGAGAATTGAAAGCTTGGCCCTAGGGTTTTTGTTCTTCTAGGATGGGGAGACCTGGAAGGGGAAACTTGGAGGAATGTGCCCAGCAGACACCTCTGCCACTGTTCCCTCTCCTTTGGGCCATGGCATTCCTATGTTCCTGGAGGCTATAACAAAAACTGATATCACTAAGCTTCTGCCTCTCCCCACCTCTCTTACTCCATCCTCTCCAAACCTATGGCTGGGGCAGTTCTTCCTCCTAAGGTGTGCACATTTTAACAAGGCCCAGGGTGAAGAAATCTATTACCTCAGCGACTGAGCTGGGCTTGTGACCCTTTTATAGGAGAGTTCCAAGCTAGACCCTTTGCTCAACAAACATTGACTGGATCCTACTCATGGGGTACTTTCTTAGCCAATTGGAAATGGCCAGCCTGGGGCACTAGCCCCCAAGTGTGGGCCTCCATTACCAGGCTCAGGAAATGTGACCTTTTCCGGCCGGATCCAGTGGAACCGGGGAGGTCTCTGCCTTGCCCCTGACCTGTGGGCTACAGGTCTCCAGAATGACCCAGGCTGGCTACTCATCCAGCTTCAATTAAAGCTGGAGTTACTGACCCTGGGGATCCCAGGAAGTAGAGCAATCAGACCTCTCTGCCAGTGGTAGGGAAAGACTCTTGCATTCAGGTGGTCTGTTATGCTTCCTTCCAGGATGAACTCAACCGGAGGAGATAAGCATCCTGAGAGAATCCGGAGAGTGCAGGAGAGAGCTAGCTAGGTACAGCCCAGGCTCTGGTTTCTAAGAATCCAACAGCTGCCATTGTGGCTGCTTTATAATTAGTGCCCAAGAGGCCATGCCACTGCTATGGTCATACAGTGTTCCAGCCACTTCTACCTCCATCCCTGTGATGACCGGCTCTACACAGACTAGGTATCAGAATACAAAACAAGGCGATAGTGGAGAGAAAAATAAAGAGGAATGGAGGAGAGACAGACAAAGAAAAAGGAGAGAGGAGGAGAGCTTGAGGGAGCCAGTTTTTTTCCAGCTTCAGTCCTCAAACTATAGCAGCTGCCTAGCACAATCAGAATCAAGACTCGGGTCTGTGCTGACACATCGCTAACTCTCCACTCTTCTGAGTTGTTCCTGCACCCCAGGCCAAGACAAATTTTCATCCCCCTATGCCTAAGTAGCCAGCAAATCTGAGCACTGAAGAGCTCACAGCGCTGCAGCCTAGGGCCCTATGTTGGGCTTACGGGATCTGCCTGGTCCCTCTCTGCTCAATAAGAGGGTAAAACTCACTGAAATTTTGTTTAGCAGTGCCACCTGGGTATGCTACAAAACTGGGGACTACACAAAAAAGACACTTTGCTCCTCAGCACTGCCTGTGCCTCTCTGGAAAGGTCATGTGGCAAGTATAGGTGGCAAGAGTGAGAAAGGCTCTTTGAGGAGAATGAGCCCCAGCAGGCCAGCATGCCGGGGATTAGGGCCCAGCGTCCTGCCTGTCCGGATCCAATGTAAAAAGCAACTTTCCAGGCTCAAATTTGGAAAGGGCCTTTGCCATTGGAGAGTATGTTTGAGATGGTGGAAGCTACAAAAATAAAGTGAAAGACATTGATGTAAATCTGTCTTTCTTAACCTTTTAGAGTGTCAGGGACCCTCCCTGAAAAATAAAAGGTAAATCTGATTTACACTGAAAAATGCTTATCTATGCAGTCCCATAATCCAACCATCATTTTCAAGGAATTCACAGACGCCTCAAAGCCTTTTCCTGTAGCTCTCCAGAGCATCCAGGACTTTCCTGGGCCTGGAGAGACCCTGCCAATTTGGCTGGTAAGACACCCTGATGCCCTGCTGCAGGCAGCCCTCAGGCTAGTTTTGGCCAGGGCCCTGTAGGACCGCCAAATGGGTTTCTATGCTGGATGGGATCCAGGAGCCTGCAGTGCCAACAAAGGTTACAAAAGTTAGCTTAGCATACTGCATCTGCTACAAAAGGCCACCCCTGCTAAAGAGTGAAGGAGCGGGAAAGCCTGCCACCAGCATCACAGCCCCTGGGGTTGACACTTGGGTCTTCACGGACCTTTGCGGTGGTTGGTATGAGTTCTTCCAGCGTGACTCCCCCAACCCCCTGCAATCGGATGTTGAGTTTGAACTTTCTAGATTAAAGGGAGGGAAAAGTGTGTAGGCTTGTATGGAAGATCCTCTCTAGCCTAGGACCTTGGGTCCCACCCGCACTGGGACTGTTGAGCTGGGAAAGAAGAGCCCGCGCTGCGCTCCCTTGGTTCCCTTCGCTCCCTTCGCGGACTGGCCTGCTGTGGCTGGTTGGTTCGAGCTAGAGAATCAACGCAGCAGAAACTCAAGTTAAATGCCACTTTGTGCCTCCTCAGCCATTTGAGTTGGTCTAGAGCCCCCAGTATTCCTGACCAGCCCCAAGCCTCCTGGGCCTCTCTAGGTGTTAGCCTCCTCAATAAAATATTCCTTTCGTTTATCGATCGCTTTGGTTTCCGGAGATTTCCCATTCCGGAGAGATTAAGAAAAGCGATTCAACTACCACATGGGTCGGCTTCTGTCCACTGTCTCTCCCTCTTGCCCGTCTGCCTTCTTACCTTTCACCCTTCCTTCCTGAATTTCTTTCTCTCGCTCAGGATGCCTTTGACCTAAAACCCCGGGTGCCTGCTTGCCTCCACCAGGTTTGCGCCGCTGCGGTTCTGCCGCCTCTGCAGCGGCAGCCAGAGCCTAAGTTTTATTGAGGAGTAAAAACTGCCCAATTCTACCTGATGATAACACTGGGTCCCTCCACGGAGCCTGAGATAAACATCAGGCCCGTGGAACATGCAAGCCCGTTAGCGGAGAATTACTTTGCAGTTCACTAGAAGCCGATTCCTCTTCTTGAGTAGGCCCTTCCAAACAAGGAGAAATAAATTACGAAAAACAAGTTGTGTTCTTTTACAGGAAAAATAATGAGGTCCTTAGCTTGAGATAGCTAGTAAACGATTTATATCTGGAGGCCATTCTCAATACTTTCTGGCTTCTGAATTATCCAGCAGGCTGTGGGGTTGGGTTGATGCTTCGCAGAAGGAAAAAAAAAAAAAAAGAATGCTATTTTTTCATATTCAGCATTAACAAAAATTTTGTGTTTTCTCTAATTCACGAATTTGTGCATAACTAAAAAATTTCCCAAAACAATGACGTTCTTTTTCTGTTGGCTTTTTTTTTTTTTAAGAATGTCAACAGTTCCAGGGATATTTAATGTGTCTTTTTTGAACCGGTCAGGTGCAATCTATTCTTAAACAAGCTTTAAAATTATTCTAAATCTAACCACCAAGCTAGCTCTTCCCGCCATTGTGGGGGGAGTGTTGAGGCCTTTTCACACACTCCTTAAATTGCAACATTCTTAGTTTTGCCCACAATAAATGACCCCTTGCCTTGAAACGAAAGGCCCATCTGAGGTTATAGGAATAGCTCCTAGTGCAGAGAGCCACTCACCGTTTGGGTGTTTTTTGTTTTTTTCATGGCTGCCTTTTTCTGACATAGTTTTTTTTTTGGGGGGGGGATCCCATTCTCAACAAAGACTAGTGATTCTAATAAGCAAAATTTACATACATGTAGAGAGGCAACATCTACTTTTTCTAGGATTCCCTGTAGAATCTCACATACTGCATATTTGGGAAAAGAAAATAATGCTTTCAAAAAACTATTCAAATATTGAAATAAAATTTCAAATACAGGAGGAAAAGGGAATTTAAATTTGGACTCCAAATTGTAAGCATTTTGATAATTTAAAATTCCATTTATGACAGTCCTGAAGGAATGACCCCTTGTTTAGACTTTATCCTCTAGTCCGCTTTGAAAATGGATAGGTATTTACCAATGCGTTTTTGCATATTTGTAAAATCCTTAAAAGATCCATCTCTCTCTCTCCCTCTCTCCCTTTCTCTCTCTCTCTCTCCCTCTCTCCTAAGAAATTGCTGCAAAATCCCAGCTAGGTTTATAACAGCACATTCCAGATAAGCAATACAAAGACTTCTCCAGCAGTCTTTAAGAATCAAATGCAACTTCACCGAATTGGCCTTTTTTGGAAACAAAGGTTTTCCCTTGTCTGCTAGGCAGACCTCAGACCTCACCTAGTAGGAAACCAACAGCCTCTGGCAGTCTGCCCCAGGGAATAAGCCTGCTCCAGCGAGCTGCCGATGAAGACCACCCCATTGTTTTGAGTAGAAACTTTCTGTTTGCCCAGTCCTCCAATTTCTCCCCTACCCCATAGCTCCCTATCTCAGCAAGGCTGAACCCTTTAGCTTGGATGTCTCCCACCCTCAGCTCATCCTATTTGGAGTATTTCCACCAAATCAAAAGACCTCCTTGGGTGAAATTCTGGCGCTAAAATCAACAACTTTTCTCACTTAGGCCTCCTTTTGCTTTCCAACCTTAGGGAGCGATGGGAGAAGTGGGGGTGGTGGGACGAACGTCTACTGCGTCACCCCACAAACCCAGTTAGGTTCCCGGCCCCTGCTTAGACAACGGCCACCTTCTCACTCCCACCCATACAATAGTGAAAGTGCTAAACTTGTGTCCTCTTACCTTGACACATTTCCGAAATCACTGCCAAGTGGCTTCTTCCGCGCCGCGACGCCGGCGAGGCCTAGGGAAGGCTCGTTGCTCTAGATTACACCAACTACTTCTTATGCGTGACCCCCTCACACACACCTTTTAATACGAAGGGGAGCGGCACAAGTGAAATAATGTACCGTGCTGCTCTTAGAATCAGAAGCAAACAAAGGCCAAGAATCACGCTGGGGTTCCCGGCTCCCCGGCGGCTTTGACATTGATCGGAAGTGCGCCATCTCGTGGCGGCTGCGCGACTAGTCTCAGACGGAGCTCCAGTCTCCAGCCTCCAGCCAGGAGAGGGAAGCCAGCTCCGGGCAGAGAGGAAGAGAGGACAGAAGGAGAGAATGTGCCCAGCCCGCTGCTATTGAGATCTCATTTTTACATCTAAGAAATTGCTGCAAAACCCCAGCCGGGTTTATAGCGGCGCATTCCAAATATGCAAATTGGCCAGCCCCGGACGGGTTTACGACCACATTGTCACAGCCATCGGAGGATGGGCTTTTATAGGGCTCAGAAATCAAACCCGCGCCCGCCCGCCGCCCGCCCGAGAGCAGTTCTCCTGGCTAGACTCTCTCTAGCAACTTGAGAGACTTTGGTTAATCTTTAACCATCCCAAAGGAAGTCTTTCCCTAAATCCGGGCTTCCCTGCCAGCCCCCCTCCCAGCCCCCCAAGGAGGGCCCTTGTTCTTCTCTGTGTGTCTGTCAACCTAGACATTCATCTAGGGGTCTGTTCTGCTCGCCTTTCAGCTTGGCTTCCCCTGTCGCGCCAGTTAGGCAAACAAACAAACAAACAGAGCAGGGTCTGGGGCCTCTCTTCAAATGCGACCCTCTTTGCTGCTTTGGCCCTGTCTGGGTGGCTGGAGAGAGGGTGGGGTGGGCAACAAAAGGCTCTGTCCTTTCCTCCCTGCCCCTCAAGGTTATGGGTGATGTCCAAATTTAAGGCAGAAGTTCAAAGGCAGCAAACAAAGAGGAAACCGGCATCTTTTCTCCCAAAGAAAAGACTGCCTCATCTAGGAGCTGGGGAGAAAGCACACTTAGAGGTTCTTGAGAATTTGCTCTGCTCTGGTACCCAGACTGATTCCCTTCTTGTTGAAGGGGATCAAAAGGGCATCCCAGAGGGGTTCTACTCAGGCCTCCCAATCCTGAAGTAAGCAAGGGCAACTTGGGGTCAGGCCCATGGCCTCTTTAGGCCCCAAGGCTTTCTCTAGGGCTGAGGTTACTCTGAGAAGAAGTACCACATTCTAGAGCCTGAGATCCCACCCTTAAGAGCCCACTTTCCACAAGGACATGGTTTATCAACCACCTTGGCTTCTTAAGATTGGTTTCTATTGTACCAAAATTCTGATCCAGTCACCTCCTCATTCCCTGAGGGGCTTGATAACCTTGTCCTATTACTAGTAAAAAGGGTGTTGGGAGGGGAGACACTTGGCAGTAAAAAGCAAGCAGGGAAAGGAATGTCACACCAGGACCCAATACTCAGGTTTTCACTGTCTTTATTTTCCTGATGCCCTGTTGCCTGTATATGCTGTGACATATTCAGTGGGTAAGAATCCAGGACAGGCCAGCCCTTCCATGACACAGAGCCACCGGACACTTCTTAATACAGGGAGGCAGAAAAGATTCAGAGGGAGGCTTTCTCAGATGAGGTCCTCAGGTCCTGACAGGCTGAACTGCCTCCAAACATCCCCTAACACTTTCCAAATGTTGCAAAAGATTAAAAAGACCATTCTCAATACCCTTCCCCACCCTCTAACACCCCAAAGGGAATCACCTAATGACAAAAAAAGTGTGTTCAAACAAATTAGGTTATGGTTTCTTTATTTACAAGTCTTTTGAACACCATCCCTGTATGAAGCGTACATTCAAATATTCTTAGCAGTGAGCATGTTTAACCGTGGAACACTGTAAACAGTTAGAGCCTTTAAATATTTTCATTTTACCCCTTCTACATTGCATCTTTTAAAATTCGCTTTGGTTCCTTCAGGGAAATATATATATATATATATAATATAATATTTATCATTTAAAATAATTCCAAATCATTCTCCAGCTCTTGGAAGGCCACCGGAAGCTTCCAAGCTCAGTTCTGAGCCAATGAGAGCAGACAGTGGCAAGAAAACCGGGAACTATGGGGGACTCCAGCCCCTCATAGCCATATCCTAGGACCTGATGGCCAGGCCAGCTGCTCTGCTGCCCCACACTGAGCAAGTCCAAGCTTCATTAAATGTGGTGGAGACTTTGCCAAACTGCTGCACTCCACAGGCATTTCCTGTGGAGATTCAGGGGCCAGCGGCCTGGGTGCAGCCTCTCTGCTTTTTCATGTCTTCCACCTCAGGGAATAGTCCACTCTGCAACCAGGCTTTGGGCCTGAGCAGCAGGCTGGGAAGAAGAACCCTGTTTGGCAGGAAGAAAATCCAGGTGGGCTGCAGGAGGTGACTGCTAGGAGCTTAGGCTTGGAACAGCATGGTGAGTAGCTAGGAGGGATAGAAAGACACCAGCACCACCTGGACAGTAGATTTCTTTTCCCTCAAGGATTTTCAGCCTTCTTCCAGCTCATAGCTACTTCTTAGTTCAACTGACTTTCACATTGGTTTTGGAAAGCAGCTTCATTCTGGGCATCTAGGAATCCTCCCCTTTCCTTGCCCTGTCCTCAAGCTGAACTGGGCTTGGAGGGCACACAGCTTCTTGACTTAGGAATCCTAGGGTCGGGCAGGCTCTGTGTGGAGGGTCCTGGGAGGGGTTGGTCTCCAGGGGCCCTGTCAGGAGGCCTAGTCCCCAGGGGAGACCACACCCAGCCTCAGGCTCTACAGGCTCCAAGAATGAACCACCAGGGGTTCCAAACCATTCATTCTAGTGAATGCACAACTCCCAGAATCCAATTATTATTAGGAAACTTAACCATTGAGATCTTAACCAAGAGAGTCCCAGGCCCCCTCCTGTTGAGCTATCTTGGTGCAGCTTCTTCCCCTCTCTTGTACACCTCCTTTTTTTCAAAAGTCACCGTGTGGCTTGACCTTGTCAAGGGCAAAATCTGCATATGATCTCATACGTATGAAGCCCCCCCACCCATTTCCAGAAGGCTGGAGCCTTAGAGGAGTGGGTTAGCTGAGTAGTATTGTAAACGGTCTCTGTTAATTTTTTTTTCCTTCATTCTTCTGTTTTGAAACCAGATTTTGACTTGACGGTCGGTGAGGTTGAGCATTCGGGACAGTTGCAGGCGCTTCTCTTTGTTGATGTAGACGCTGAAGAAGAACTCTCGCTCCAGCTCTCTTATCTGGTACTTGGTATAGGGGCATCGCTTTTTGCGGGTTCGTTGGCCACCTATGGAGGGAGAAAGGCAGGGGGTGAGTCAGGCACAGTGCCTGCAATCCCCCCTCGCTAGAGCCCCGAATTGAGGAAAGGGGCTCACCACAGGATCTGGAGTCTCAGCCTAAGTCCCCTTAAGGTCTCTCCAGGCCCTGGCCTCAAGTTCCTACTGCCGGTAGGGGACGAGCTGCAGTGGGAGGCTCAGCCGCAGATAAAAGCCAGCTCCCTAGATAGGCCCCCGGGGAAGGTGCTCCTGCTGCCCCCTGAGCAGAAAGGAGGGCTCCTCACAGCAACAGGCGAGTTTGCTCTGCTGAAGCCGCTTTGAAAGCAGCCGAGTGGGGGTTGCTGGCTGCTTCTTGCCCCGCCAGACTAAACAAACAGCCGCCTGCGGACATTTCACCTTCAGCACCTGGACCGCCTGTTCCCGTGGTAGTAAAGGCGGCCGGGGCCCCAGTCTTTCCCTGTCGCGGCCACGATTCCTCTATCGTTAACATCTGGGGCGGCTGCCGGGTCTTTGTCAGCCTGAGTCCTGGCCACAACCTTCTGCCGCCTCCACCAGTCTCCCCGTTCCTTCGAGGTGGCAGCGGAAGGCCCCCTATCCTTGGTCTTCAGTTAAGCACCACCACCACACACCTAGGGGGCTTTCGGGGGCTGCAGGGATGCTATTTTAGGTAGGGTGGATGCAATAGAGGCTTTCCGAAGCTTCAGGCAGGCTCAATTTGCCCCCCCCCTTTAAAACAACAACAACAAAAAACCCATGAGACAAAAAAAACCAAAAATTCACTTTTGACAGATTTAATAACAATTGTGAATAACATGCAGTTGGACAGAAGACGGCACGTAATTGCCACCGCGCCAGAGGAAAATGGCTTCCTTTGGACAAAAAGGCCAACTTTGGGTTAATTTGTTTCTTTTAATATATTGCTCGAGCTAAGCGGGCCACTTTATCTGTTAAACGCTCTCCTAGCGCCATCATTAAACAGCGATGCCTTTGAATCCCAGCCGGGACCAGAGTCCCGGCGCAACACATGGCTTTTATAAAAATCTCCGGATTACCTCGCTATCAAAGGCTCCTGAAGCCCTTGCAGGGGGAATTTACAGGCGCCCACCTCCGGCTCCCCAGCCTGGAGCTGGCCCCGAGCGGGATCGAGCTGCCGAGTTTGGGAACTGGGAAAGGAAAAAAAGGGAAAAGGGGAGTTGTTTTTTTTTTTTTTTTTTTTTTTTTTTTGCAGGCATGCTTTGGCCGGTGGGTATTTCACGGCCAATTTCAGCACTCGCCACGTGATCCCGCCTTTTATAACAAAGTTTTGTTGGGGGAAACCTAAAGGCCCTTCATAAACCTTATATGCTTATAAAACAGCATATAAAAATTTAACAGCGGTGCTGCGCTAGATTTCCAACTCCCCTTTCATAAAGCGCGGGGCACACTGCCTTTATACGTACTGGAGCCGCCGGCCTTGTCCTCAGTGTGGCCGGAAGACGACTCGGGGCTGCTGCTGCTCTCGGGGCGCCGTCGCCGTTCCTTCTCCTCCGCTGCCGCCGCCGCCGCCTCCCGGCAGCCGCCGCCGCTGTCCGAACTTGAAGTTGCCGGCGCGCCGGTGGCCGCCGCCGCCGCCGCCGCCGCCGCGGAGGTCGCCGTTGCCGCTGGGGGCCCCTTTTCGGCGCTCTTGTCCCCAGGGTAGTCAGAAGCGGCGAGGTTTTCCGGGGTGCCGTAGGCCGTCTCAAAAAACTGGTCGAAAGCCTGTGGCAGGACGCCGTTCCTGCCCACCGTGCTATAGAAATTGGACGAGACGGCGGGGGTGGGGTGGTGGTAGACGTTGGCCGAGCTCTTGGCCAGCACGTCGCCAGGCACGCCGGCCGCGCTGGGCGCCTGCAGGCAGTCTCTGTGCACGAGCTCCTCTGCGGAGTAGCAGTGGGCCAGATTGCCGCGGGGGTGCCATTTAGTGGCGGGCTCAATGGCGTACTCTCTGAAGGTCACTTCGCGCACGGGTTGGACCTGGGGCAGGTTGGAGGAGTAGGAGTATGTCATTGGGCGCGAAGACGGGGTCTGGGGCAGAAAAGAAGGGAGGCTGGAGAAATCTGGACCCGAGACGTAGTAAGTACAACTTGGCAAATACATGTTAGAGGAGCAGGGACCACGCTCATCAAAATCCATCATTGGGCTACCTTGGGCTCTCCGCAGTAGCCGAGCTTAACATGATTCTCCACTGCAGCTGCCTCTTTGAAGCGGATCCGTGAAGTAGAAATTTGGAGACGTAAGCTGACGTGGAAATCTATCCCCATCCTTAGCAGGGAGGTGCTGGTCATGTGACCCGATGTTGAAATTGACAAGCTGCGAGCTAGTCCGGGCCTTTTTCCCCCCTTTCCTTTTTTTTCCCCTCCCCTCCCTCCTCGGCTTCCTTTCTTTGTAGCCACCTCAGGGGAAGCAACAGATCGTCACTCGGTGTTCTCACCGAAAGCACGTAATCGCCGGTGTAACTCATGTTGGCTGGGGGGCCTCCCGGCGCGCGGTGAGGCTGGGGTGCGCCCTGGTGCAGCTCGCTTTTGCTCAGCTGCATGATCCTGGCCCTCGAGTGCGCCCTGGGCGGTGAGAGATCTCAACTCCCGACATCCCCACCCCCACTCCCCGGGTGGGTGAGGGATGCTCTGGGTTGGGGGTGACCAGGTGGAAGCCCGAATCTGTGTGGCCTGTGGTCTCAGAGTGTGTTCTTCTGGAGACTCACGTTCTCACCCCCCTTCTTCTAAGCCCCCCTCCCACAGGCTTGCTCTGGGAAGCACCTCAGCCTAAGAAGCTAGCCAGACCCCTTTTGGGGCCAGGGTTCGCAGCCGTGGATGTGCCCGCCTCGAGGCTTGTCCGATTTGCACGGTGACTTGATTACACGCTCGCATTCACGGTCACTTCCGAAGCGCTTTAGTGTCTTCCGTCCCTAAACCGCCAAGAACCAAGGCGGCTTCCCCCGCGGTTTGTCAATGATTCGCGGGGTCCGGAAGGTCCTTCGTCTTACCCGGGATCCACCTTTCCCTTAATCTTCCCCGCCTGTCTCTTCACCCCACCCGCTGTCCTTGGAGAAATCCCCTTCTCCTAGCTGCCTGCCTGGGTTCCAGTGACTCGGCAGAGCCAGACGCTCTGGGGCTGCGCCTCTGCTCTCCGGTCCGCATGCCTGCCTGGTCTTCTGGAGCTGAGGAATCGGGAAACCATGCAATTGAGGCAAGCCTTGGGCTGTTTTAGAGGCGCTGACATCCGAGGAGCCTTCCCCTGGGTATGCTGCACCTTTGGGGGACCCTGCCAGGATGCTTGCTGAGCTATGGGGCTGTGAGGGAAAAGGGGGGCCAGCAAGGAGGGAGTGATAGTCAAGGAGTCCTGACCAAGAAAGGGGTGACCTGCCTCTTTTTTTCCCCCTTGCAAATCCTAAGAATGAAAGTGAGAGATGTGCAAGGCAGAAACTCAGAAAGCTCTGTGTCTTTCGGCTACTCATTCCAGAGAAGGAGCACAATACCAGAGAGAGAGAGAGAGAAAGACACACACACACACACACACACACACACACACATACAGAGAGAGAGAGAGAGAGAGAGAGAGAGAGAGAGAGAGAGAGAGAGATGCTTTCCAACTCCCTGCACCTTGGGCAATAAGGATGCCTTAAAACGGTTAGTTTTGCTCTAAAGATAAAAGCAGAGGCCATAGTTGCTGGTTTGAACATACATTTCTTGGGAGAAGGAAATTGGGAAATTAAATAGGCAAAATAATGTTTATCATTCTGCAGGATTGAAGGAATAATATTTGGGGGAAAATGAAAGAAGGGAAAGGGCACAGAGCAGACAGGTAGGGCCAGGAACAGGAAGGGGACCCAGACTTGAGGCCTCCCCACAACTCTAGGAAGGAGTGGGGGTGTCAGAGAAAGAAGTCCAAAAATCAAAAATGAAAACCTTTTCCCTTCCCGCATCTATGAAATAGCCAAAGATCTTTATATATGTAGAGAGATTTAGAGTATAAACTCTAAGGTCTTTGGTATTTAAGTGTCAACATCGATTAATGTATTTATTGCTGAGCTGACTGTAACCGACTCAATAACAAATTTAATCATGTATTGCACTGGAAAAAAAATATTCTCATTATGTCTTTTCTCCAAATAATGACCCACCATTGAATACCCTGTAAATATCAATAATATCAAGTAATTACTCTGTAGTGGAGTAAACTAATTTATTAGCATTAATGTTTATGTGCCCCCCACACACACACAAGGGTTGCTTATTACAAATCAAGCTACTTGGACACAATGGTTTAATGAACTCTTTATTCAGGATTTGCTGCAAGAACTTTCATGCCCCTTGAATCCCTGAGAGTTAAACTTGAAATTAGTCATGTATCTTCAGCTTGACATATTTGTCCACTGTGGCTTGCGTAGAGGGCAGCAGCAGTGTGAATAAGAAGGTTCAGTGGGAGGGAAGGTTATTGAGGAAGGGTAGCTTGAGACCTCCTAAAGCTGGGAATCACAATTATGGGATTGTCCTGCAGTGAAAAAACTTCTATTTCCAGCAGTGATCAACAAGGCAAAATATTTATTTCTCTATACAGTATCTGCTTCTTGGAGACAGAATATGAAAGAGAGAGACAGAGGTTTCATACAGCAGTATTTGAGTAGTTTCTTGTCTTTCTGTCTTGATTTTGACTCTTCCAAAGTCTCTCCCAGAAGCCCACCCAGTCCTCACCACCCCAACCCTTGAACAAAAGGAATGCATGAAGGGTTTCAGTGACTTTGCCATAACAAAGGCGCCACCATTGCAGGGCTCGCCCCGCCCCTGGGTGAAGGCAAACAAATTCTTGCACTTGTATTAGGGCTTTTAAGACCATAATTGAACCCGGGGGCGTCTAGGAGAACCGAAAACAGTTCTAGACAGACCTGCGGTTTTATAGCAGTTTTGGCAGTCAACTTCAGCTTGTGTCTGAGCAGTGGGGCCACGGTGGCCCACCAGCTGGGGGACGCCAAGCTACCTCCCCAGGCAGAATACAGCCCCTCTCTTAATTAGATCGGTTTCCCTGGTGCCAGGGGAAAGGAGTTCTTGCAGAAAGGTGGGTATGGGTCTGTGCGTGCTCTGCATAACCGTTGCCTTCCATGTCCTCCAGGGCCAAGCTGAGTGGGTGACTGTTTGTCTGGATCCTAAGGGTGTCTGCAGGAGACAAGGAGAATTCCCGAGGAAAGCATGGGGACAGAGGAAGGAGCTCCAGGAATGGTTGGCAGGGCAATTGGGCAAGCTGTACCGAAGCCGGGTGCCCAGAGGGACTTGCAACCTGGAAGGGGGCGTGTGGGGGCGCTGCCGTGAAGATGAATGAGGGAAGAGGGTTTTGATGCCAGCAGAAGGGAAAACGCCCCGGAGCTGCCGAATGCTTTTAGTTCCCCAGCAGGAACAAGAAGCGGGTGCTCAGATCCCAAGGCTGCGCAACGTTCCCAGCTTTGACCGCTTCCGCCCCACTTGCGCGGAATACGCACAGGTAGTGTGAATGTTCTTCTATGCAGGCGGCAGGGGTAAGGGGTCTGCGCCGCTCTGAGGTTCGGACCAAATCTTGGGGAAGAACGGGAGGGAGAACTGCAGAACCTTGGTTTTGACTTTCCTATGAGGCTAATTGAATCTTCGGCTTTGCAGGAGGCCCAGCAGCCAAGCCGAGCTGGGCTCTGGGGAAGAACCGAATGGGAATAAGGCCACCCCGGAAAGCCAAGTCCGAGTTCCAATTCTTGAAGAGACCGCGGCGGGCAAGGTTGTGACATTGGCCCTGGCGACTGTTTTCCCATAAGCTGCTGTTTCTCAAGAGCTCCACAGCGCGGGGCCATCTTCAGAAAACACTCTTCGGCGTGTATTTCCTTTAATCGTCCATCCGGAGCTCCACGGCGGCTAATGCGCGAGGCCAAAAATGTTTGGAGGAAGAAAAACAAAGGCAGGAAGTGGCGGCGGCCTGACGGTGCGTGTGTGTCTGTAAAGAAGGGAGGGAGCCGGTTCAATCTCTCCTTGTTTTTCCGAACTTCAAGTTCTAGGCGGATCTCTGCAGGGCTGGCCCTGTCTCTCCCGGCGCAGCTTTTGGAGGTGGCCACCAGGAGAGAAGGCCGGCGCCCGCGCCAGCCTTGTCAAGCGGAAATGGCTAACAAAATTTGGTCAACAAAACTGGCCAAGCGTTTCTGAGGCTTCTTCTGGTTTGTTCTGAAGTTGCGGGGGTGGGGGCGGTGCTGCGCATCGCTTCCCGGACCCTCTTTGGAGGGCTGACTGCCACCGTCTGAGGATGGTGGTTAGTGCAACCCGCGCTCCACCCGCCTTCCCAGGCGGGATATCAGAATAAAGTCTGTCCAGGCGCCTCTGCCGCATCCGCTTCTTCTTGTAGTAGGGGAGGTCTGGGCAGCGGCGAGCCTCTCCACAAAGCCTGGGCGGGGTGGCCTCGGGGCAGTCATTGCGCAGTTGGGCAATTGGAAGCCCGACGCCCCGGTTGCTGTGCCTGGGGCATTTCCAACACATTCAAGGGACAGGTGCTGCAAGAACCATCACTTGACAGTCAGCTTAACACCTTCTCACTCCAAGGGAGGATAGAGCTGTGGGGCAGAGAGCACCTCTGGACTCCAAGCTTCCTAACCCCAACTGGCAAGACTGTCCTCGCTATCCTTGGGGTTGGCTTGGGATGCTCCCTGGCTTGGGACGCTCCCTGTCCCCTGACTCTGAAAATCTGAAGTCTCCAAGTGCCTATACTTGCAGCCCTTTGGATGCAAGCGAGTGGTCCATAGGATCCACAGTGTGAATGTCAAACCAAGCTGCCCCCACTCAACACATTCCTTCTCAGTCTGGTCCTGTTCTCTTGCAGTTCCTGCTAGCTCCTCTCCTATCCTGCCTCTTTCCAGCCAGTCTTCCCTTCTCAGTTCTCCTGCTTTTTTTCTGATGTGTTTTCTAGGCTGGTGCAAGAGCTAAGATGCCACTGGATGGCACTTAGTATGCAGGCATAGAGAGAGGGGTCTATTAGATTTCCCACATCCCCTTTCCAGATCTGTACTGGGTCTCTCACCTCCTTCTTTGGGCTACTCCATCCCAAATCCCTACTATGTCTGCTTTCTTTTTCTCGCTCCCTCCTTCACCAACACTTTTCTTCTGGGGACCCAGCTCCTGCTTTTCTGGCCTCGGCAATCTCCAATGGTAGCTGACCTGGGAAGGGTTGGACACCTTTGTCAGACCAAATCTCATTCCTAATTGTCTACAGTTGTTTCTCAATGGATTTCTTAGGGCACCTATAATATTTTGCCTCTTCTTGCTGACATAAGCTCTTACTTTCTTTTGTCCCAAATGTTGACTGTTTTGAAAAAGCTGAAGAGAAGATTATTGCTACCCTGGTGACCATATTGCACACAGGTGCAAGAACCAGCCAGGAGGATGAAGGTGGAAATGGCCACAGAGCTCTAGACAGGACTGAGGGCCAGGCCTCTATTTGGAGAATCTTTTCTTCCAAGTAGGAGGTGTCCTTGGGGTTACTGTCCTTGGTAGTGGGCTAGGGAGATGGATTGAATGGAATGGCCCAAGAGATTTCTAAGTATTTGTTCTGAGGGAATGGTTTATCGGAAGATCATGGTCAATCTACCATTTTTGCTTCAATAAAAAATCATGGGAACACTTCTGTTACTATAAGGTGAAGGCAGGGATTAATTTGTCCCTTTGTCAAGGCACCAACCCTCCCCTTAAATTCTCTTACTCTTCCCTAAGCACAGGAACAGATAGTGCCTTGAACTTGACCTCATAGTTGGTTTTTGGTCTAACCAATGGGTAGAATCATCCTCCAGTGCCCCTCAATACCTGAAGAAGTCCATATTCTTCCTCTGGCCACTGGGGGGTAGGGCACAGGGTTCAGCTGAGTGTCTCAAATGCCCGAGCAATCTGGTTATCATTTAGTTTAGTGGGTCTCAAACTGATGGGAGAAGGGAGGGTTACTACCTTTGAGAACTATTTTTATTTTTACTGTTGCCAACTCATTAGAGAAGATTTTATTTATTTTTTCCTACAGAGCAGGGACAAGTTGATGGGGAAAATTAAAGCACAAAGCCCTGGTTCTCAGTGTCTGCCGTCTATTTTCCCTGCAGTTTCGGCCCAAACGGGTTTCTCCTGCTGAATGTACCTGCAATAGGATGACAAAAGAGGGCAGTCCAACCAGGAGGTTGGCTCTATGTCTTGGTCTTAGTTCCCAAGGCCATGGCTCACAGGATCCCAACTTACCCCAAGCTCCATTTCTACAAAGTGCTGTTGGCGGCTCATACTCCATGCTTGAAAAGAGCCTCTGCTCCTATCTACCCCTGCCCAAGGAGCCTTCGTTACCCACACTGCCAGGCAGTTCTGCCATGGAATCCCTTCTGCTATATATCTCCACCCTGTCCCCACCCCAGACCCAACCCTGCCTTTGCAGCCCCGGGGTAAAGCCCAGATTTTCAGTCTTAAAAAAAAAAAATCATTTGTAGGTCCTCTTTGGTTCATCTGGAGTGATAGCCACAGAAGCAGAATAGGCTCAAGATGTTTGCTGCTGAGCCAGAAGCACTGACCTACAGCAGAAAGGCTATGGGCAGGGCATTAAAGGACTACCCTCCTTGCATAGCATAGTGAAAGCTTCTTGGGGTCCAGGAATCTGAAATCTTTACATCGGCAGAGTCCTCCTCGGTGCAGATTTCTGGCAGAAGAGCATAGAGGGTCCCCAAAGGTCTGCCATACCGTGATGAAGGGCCTGGACTCCGGGACCTTAGCAGGGTCTTTGCTTTCCTATCCTGCACTAGGCCGCTGGTCTTGTAGGCCACTTGTTCCTACCGGACCCAGAATTCCATCCCAGTCATATCTGCTCCTTAGGCTTGCAGGTGCTCCCTCTTGCCCCGGGTAGGGCTCTGCCGGTTCCGAAGTCTTCTGGGCTGGGGAAGATCCCGCTCTTCCGGGACGAGGACATAGCCTGGGTCATCCCTGTTCCCGGGGACTCCTTTCCAATAGGGCTAGGAGTAAGGGCGTTGGAAATCAAGAAAGAATACTGCTCCAGTGCTGGAACCCAAGGTATCAGAACCCACTTGCAGCAGGAATGATGACCCCGCCAATTGTACATCTGCGCCTTCCTGAAATTGCGGCTGCGGTCGGGAGCTACCGCCACCGGCCCTGACCATGGAGGCGGCAGTGGCGCCGAGGACTTGACCTTTATGGAGAGAGGAGAGAGCTCTCTGTGCCGCCGGGAGGGGGACGCGGCTGTCTCCAGCCTCTTTCACCCAATAGCAGCCCAGACAACCCACGCATGCTGCGCAGCTCACCCCCTTACCCCCCTCCATTTTGTGCAGTGTTCCCAGGCCTTCGGCGGCGGCGGAGAAACAAAGCCCCCAGCGCTGCTCTCACCACCTCCCTTGGGAGCTCTAGTCCCAATCCCCCCAGGTCAGAAGGCGCAGAGCTAAAGCTACACTCTCTCCAGGGCCCTCTTCTCTCGCCTGATCCCAGGTACCCTCAGCCAGCGCTTGGGTACTACGCTCGATGCCAACCCCGGCCCCCGCCTGTGCTAAGGCCGGGTGCTCCGGGTCCTGGCGTCAGGCTGCGGGGCGGCGCCGGGGCCCACAGAGCCCGACCTGGCAGATGCGCTGGGCGCAGCGAGGCCCCAGGCGCTTCCACGCCCAGATGGAGAAAGCGACTGTCTGGAGCGCCGGGATTCGGCAGCTCGCGTCCAAAACATGGCCTAAGTGCCCAGCTGGCGCTTGGCTCCCTCGGATCTCCTCGCACCGCTCAACTCCGGGCTCAGAAAGCGGAAGTATTTGGTAGAGAAAAACACGGTTTCTTTTCAGCCCGTCTGAAAACCCCTTTTAGAGAAAATGCTCCTGTCAAGTTTTATTTCCCGTTGCAAACCACCTTCCACGCTGCCAAGAATTAAGACCAGGAGAGATTAAATACCCGATTATTCTCTTGGGGAGGGAGGGGCGGGGCGGAGAAGGGGGCACCCGCACAAAACATTCATTTGAATCGGCTTGTCCTCATCAAATAGCTAAATACAGAGCTCCGCGGGGCCAGCTTGGCCTGCAGTGACGTCAGCGAGCAGCTTTGGGGGAGACTCACCGAGCGAGCGGGGTCCCCTGCCCTCCAAAGTCCAGCGGGCCTCGGGTTCCACTGTCCAGACCTCTGCCTCGGTTCCTGCCGCGCGTCTCTGGCTCGCCCGAGAGCCGTCGGAGTACAGGAGGTTCAGTAAGGGTTGGAGCCTCCATTTTGAGTAGGGGGTTCATGTGGAAGCGTGGAGAACTTGGGGCCTCTGTCCCGACGGGTACAACAACACCAGGCCTCTCTCTTGAGTCCACAGCGGGGCTTCTCCCACTTGTCCACACCCCTGCACTGGAGGAGGCCTCGCGCGGCCACACAACCTCTACCAAAGGTTTGAAAACCTGACACCCGTTGTAATGATTTCTGCCGGGTGGATCCAGCTCTTTAGCGGCGCGATAGAGCCCTTCAGAAATAAAAATCAACTGTGGCAAGGCCCTGGCGGCTTTCACCGAGGAATTTTTCTGGACCAGCGTCTTTTTTTTTTCTTTAAAATAAAATTTAAAATATCAAGCATCTCTCAGGCATTCGTCGGTGCTGGTTAGATGCGTGAGGATTGAGTGGATATTTTCATAAAGAAGGCAACTGGCTCTTATTTACCGCGCGACTGAGCAGATAAAAACTGAATTAGCATGCCTGTCTTAAAACCTAGGAATAAATCTCCCCAGGCCTTTCGGATAAGGCTACATCTTTGCTTATGAAAAATGGGACGCGAGCAACTCGCTGCACATTTCTCTGATTCTGCAGGTCTTGGGCTGTTGACACGCATTCGATCAAGTTTAAAGGAATGCCCATAAATCAGAATCCGCTAGCGTCTCCAGCGTCTCCTTCGTAGAGGTCCGGGAGTCCAGAAGGGCGCCTCTGAACCAAAAGGGTTTAGGGATTAGTAGTCCTGGGCAACCTCTGTCTCCATTCCTGAACTGGGGAATTCGCAGAGGAAGAGATGCCGCATCCTCACCCAACCGTCCAAACACACACAACAGAGTAATCTGCACATATCTGTTATATGGTGAAATTTGGTCGTTAAGTACTCGCACACAAATGTATCACTGTCAGCTGAATTTCACTGCCTTATGGTGAATTTCTATGAAACTATTTCAATTAAATTGAATTTTAAAAAAGAACAATTTTCCTTTACTCCTTAATTTTTTTTCTTTCCTTTTCTATTACAAGAACAATTTAATTGGATGGCTTCAGTTCTGCATCAGACATAAATTGTGGTGAAACACCCAGGGACATTTTATAATCATCCACTTAGAATAACTTAATAAATTTGATATGAAGAGCTTATCGGAAAACTAAGGGTTTTTTTTTTTTAAAGTCTCATATTTGTAAATTTTTTTTTCAGTAAGAATTTTCTTTTTAGAAACAAATAACTCAGATCAGGTTTTCATTAATACCTTCTATGGGTTAGTGTCTGACATTATTATTCCTATGATGCAAAAGGAGGCTGGTGTCCTCCTGGTTGTCTTTGTTCTAAAGGTCTTAGGCTGAGTGCTATTTAGGCATTAAGGAGCCATCAAAATCCATGCCCACCTAAGCTTATCTGGTAGATTCATGAATATTTTAAATAAGAAGGAAGTTAGGTAAGATTAACACTATAAATAACCATTTTAGAAGGGGGGACCCACTCTGACATATCTTCTGTCATTACAGTTTCAAAAAATGGACAAAGAAAAAGAAGGGTACTACTTTACCCAGGGTTCCTGCAGTGGTGGTGGTGGCTTTTGAAAGGGGCAGTATTCCGGCTGAGGAGATGTTGTTGGCCTCTTTCCTAGGCCTGAGGCTCAAAATATTCCTTACATCTAAGGAAAAATATCCTCCATCAACAGGAGAGCCCCCTTTGGAGCTGTTCATAAGAACACTGTTTGATCCAGCTTTGAGGGGATTTTCCACCACTTTAAACATTTTGGGAGAAAGTCATTACTTTGGCTTGATTGTAGCTCATTTAGAAATGGAATTGTGGAATAAGACGTGAGGAGGTGGATCTGCAGCAGCATTTTCATTTGTTTCCACAAGTGGAGTGAAAATCCTCCGGGCAGCCAAATACGATTGCACTTCATGAGACCATTCAATATATGTCTCAGAACCATCCCTTTTTTTTTTTTCTTTAAAGCTTTCAGATTCTTTCCATAACTCCTCATTTCTAAAGCTTTCAGTCTTCAGGAATGGGAATAGAGGTTTACAGCAGCCATGTTTGTAATCAACCAATATCATTTTCCATCATTATGAATCTGGTTCTTCCACTCACTATTACTCTCCTCTAACATAAAGGTAAAATTAATCAGCATCTGAAAATTTTGCATCCCAAGGCTGCTGGTTCCACCAACGTTTCAATATATGTGTAGATTTGACAAAAAAATTAACTTATGTGTATATTAAATATATAAACACACATATGTATTATTTATGACTCTGAACACAGCACTTGATGTGTAATTAGGGGTCAATAAACAGTAGATATAATGCTATAATAATATTATTATTATAGTTTTGATGGTGGTTGTTAATATTAAACATATTTATTTCTCCCACAAATCAAATGGAAGATTTGTAAGCATCAATATAAGATTGCACACCACCCTGGAGCAGCACTCAGCTCTGAGCTATTCAGGATAACTCTTCTTCTGCCTCCATATTATGGTCATTTTGTAGATATGAGATATTTATAAGATCTCCTTAATGACCTCTTGAGAGGTGGATTTCTTTGAATTTCTGAAATGTAACTCTAGAACTCTAGAGTTAGCAAGGCATTCGAAACTTTTTATTTGCCGTAAAGACTCCCCAATAGCTCTAATTAGGGTGGGAGACCACCTTGGAGGGCGAGGGCCAGGAAAAAAAATGGTTATTTAAGAACACCTCTTGAACTGTAACAAAAATGTACAGCTTTAAAATGGATTTTCAGAAATCTGATTGAGCTGCTGTGAAGACAAATCAAACTTGGCCATTAAAAAAAATGAACAAAACTTCATCATGTAACAAACATTTTGTACCTGAACTCTAGAAATCACTTTAAGTTACATTGTCTTGGGTCATCAGCAATTAATGTTATTATATCTGTACAGATTCTACAATTATATATACAAGCACACACAAGCACTGATATGCAAATGTATACATGTATACACACATATGATATATTCACATATATACAGTCACATGTATAATTTACATATATTCAAATCTACTCCACCTGGAGCCAAATGAATGAGTGTTAAATCTCTAAAACAACAAGTCAAGGAGGTAAGAGGTTTTGATTTCCTTAAAGTTGAAGAATTACAAGAAGGCTTGTCAACACGAGGTGGCGCCCTTGATCTACTAATCCAACCTAGGCCAATTCATGAGCTGTCAAAAGTCAAGGTCACAAATTGTCTTTTTTTGTCAAGGTCAAGGTTTAAGGCCTTACCTAGTCCTGTCATTTCAACAAATATCAAAACCTGCCCTTTCAGACACATTCAAATCCAAGAGCAGATTTTAAAATACGATAGCCTAGGCACTGCTGGTACAAAACAACTGGTTTTCATTTTTCACAGGGAACTTGGGAATTTGTACTATCTCTTCCTCCTTTCTCTTCTATCCTTTTCAAAATAAGCAACACTTTCATCTCCTTGAACACTTAAGATTTTGGCTAAGAGGAATTTTCCTCTTTTCTTAAAAAAATTGTAGCAAAAAAAAAAAAAAAAGCTGAATTAATAGACATGAATGGTCCTTGGCTTGTATGATACAAACCTTTCCCTTTTCTTTCGGTGAAGTGCGCATTTAGCACAGGAAAGTAATGAGTTTTTCCTTCAGATTTTAATGGCAGTGACTATTTTATTAATAGAATCAATACCACTATATTACTATGTACAAGTCTAATTTTTTAGTAGAAATATTTAAAAAGCAGGTGCACAAATACATTTTTTCACAGTGTGCTGAATGTCTTTATTTACAAGATAGCATTTTATAGTGAATATGAACAAAACGAATGTGCTGGTTGAAATAACTGCTTGGTTTAAAATGTGCAGTGAAGATGAATCCCTAAACTTTCTAATGAAGTCTCATAACACAATAAACAAGGAAAATACTAACACCTTAATAGATCAAAATACAGAATGTAGACATCTAAATATTTCAGGGGAATGGATTTCCATTCAGAGTTTTCTAAAAATAAAAAAATAATTTATCCAGCAAAACGTTTAGAAAATATTGGAAAATGCCAATTAAATTTAAAAAAAAAAAGGAATTGCATTCAAACTGAAATCCTTCATGTTTGGGTAGGACTTTCTGGGAGATCTAACATAATGTCAACCCTGCGGATCATCTGGTAATTTAAACATTTAAAAAATACTCAATTCTTTGGAAAATCTCTGATATTGTGGTAGTCCAATCAGAAATATGCTTTCTATTATTAGAAGGACATTACCAATCTGGTGTTTCCTTCTAGCCTCAAAGAATTAAAGGCTGTATTTACTATCAAGACAAATGATCCTCGGAAGAGTTTTCTCTCCTTTCTCCCTTCATAGTAAATAGTTAAAGACCATTATTTCAGTACCTTCTCTTTTTTGCTTTAAACCTATATATGAAACATTTTTCAGAACATACAATGGTAGGAATTTCACTAAGATTTACCTGAGCAGGCACTTAACATGCAAAGGGAATGGCGACCTAAGAAGAACAAGCAGATGTTTACAACAGACTCTTGCTTTTGTAACCAACTTTCAAATCATTACCATCTAACACAGTGTCCTAAAATATAACGGTCACATAAATACTTACAAGATTTTAGTAAGTGCGTAACTTATCTGAAATTTCGTATTTAGGGGTTGACGTTTGACTCTAGAATTTGTCATTTAACGGTCTGTTGGCGGGAGAACTGTCAGTCTTTACCATCTTAAAAAGTTTTTTAAAAGTTGTAGATTCCATTAAAAAGAAATTCCCACTTAAGACAGCAAAATGCCAGTGTCTCTCTTTCCAATTCTTCAATTATTATTAAGCATTATTACCATTAGCTGGGCAAAAACAATCAGTTCTGAAGCATTTCTTCAAGTTGCCCTGTGCTCCACTTTTTAATCCATTAACTAGTGGTCTTCAATTTATTGATGACTTTTTTCTCTTTGACCCTTCTGTTCTGGAACCAGATTGTAACCTGCCGCTCGGAGAGGTTCGTCGTGGCTGATATCCTCCTCCGTTTGTCCTTGGTTATGAATTTGTTCGTGGCGTATTCCCGTTCGAGTTCTTTTAATTGCACCTTAGTATAAGGCACGCGCTTCTTTCTCCCCCTCCTATAGGAGCTGGCATCCGAGGGATGGGAGACCACGTCTGGAATACAGGGGAGAAGGCAAGTTACACAGGGATCAGACCTGGGCCAGACACAGAAGACACCTCGATCTGAGCCACCCGCCTTGCAGTGCCCGGCTGCGCTTTGCCACGAGCTGTACAATCCGGCCTTACGCCAAAGCCTGGGGGTTGGCCGGGAGGATGGTTAGTTTTGCACTGAAATGAAATCTCCCAAAGCTCCAGTGACCACCCCAATGGGGTTATCCTGCACACGCAGAGCGTGTTTTCCCTCAATCGCTTAGCCCAGCGGCCCACACCTTAGCGCCCGACTCAGAGTAACAACACTCATGTGCCTGATTCCGCTCAGTTTGCTCTGAGTCCCAGCACTCAGTGCTTCTACAAGTAAGGTTACTCCTCCGATAAGGAACAGTGGCAATTTGATGAACCGAATATCAGGTCAATTTCTCATTCTTAAGTTCTTGTCAAGGGTTGGAGAGGGCGGGGCGCAGAGGGAGAAGGAAGGTAGCCGGGGTCCCCACAAGCTCCCTCCCAGCACCCCTTACCCAAGCAGGGCCAGTTCAACTTAGGGCGGTGCGGACAGCGCCAGTCAGCCGGGGTCAGTCTCCCAGGGGGTGCAGCGCCGCTAGGGCAGGCCAAGGAAAGATCAGAGGGGCACTCGGGTGACCCCGGGCATGAGCTGAGGAGAATCTAGAGCAGAGCCGGAAGACCGGGGTTGCAAAGGGGGCGCCATTTACCGGGCAGTGTGGATTTCCAGAGGTGGGGAGGCTGCGCCTGCTCTTTGGGGCAGTACATTTGGCCGTTCCAGCCGTTGGGCAGCGCCCAGGGCTGGTAGCTTTCCATGGGAAGACCCAGGGGCTCGTGGCGCGATTCGCCGGGGCCCCCGAGACCCGGCACCACCGGCATATCCAGGTAGCCAGGCACGGGCTGATGGTGGTGGTAAGGCCCGGCTGCGTAGCCCTGGTGGTAGAAGGCGAACTCCTTAGCGCGGGAGCTGAACTCCTCGGCCGCGGGGCCGGCAGTATCCATGTACTTGTCCGCGAAGGCAGCGGCGGCGGCCGAGGCGGGCTGCGCACACGACTTGATGGCGTTGGGGTGCGGGCCCATGCGGGCGCACGGGTAGTAGCCGCTGCCGAAATAGCCATAGGGCAGCGCCG